CAGAGACATGAGATAGGTTTAGGTGTCCTGCGCAATGACGCAACTTACTGTTGGAATTGTGACGGAATGTATTGTACCTTTGATAATGCGTGTCAAGATGAGTGCTGTGTCATATTTAGCATATGAAATTTGGGTGTTGAACGGCTTTCAAGTATTCATTTTTTAACATAACGTGAAATATCAGCAAAATGAGAAAACAGTATCTTTTAATTGAGTTCAAAGAGCAATTTAAGGCTTGCGAGAAGGTGAGAGGCGGTGTGGGTGGGGGGGGGGGGGCACTGAGAGCTGTGCCTTTAAGAGTGAGTGTGGATCAGCTGCAATCTGGTTGGATGGTGAAAATGCAACCAGTGAACCAATAGAATTGAAGACTGTACAAAGCAATCTCGTCCCAGCCCCCACGCAGCTTCATCTCACACGTAGAAAGCACTGAGCTGCAACACAGACAGAACGGAATCAGCTGTGTAATTGTTTTTCGAAGCATTTAAAGGGATGCAATTCAGTAGTTCTGCGAAGATGGCTTGAGACATTTAAGGTGGAAATATCCCCCGTTTGTGTGGATGGAGCAATTGCCGTGAAGAGGATGTTGATGGGGATTTTTGCGTCATAGCGGAGCAAGGATGACAAAGACAATAGGAAACCGAGGCTGGCGATGGCGAGCTCTTTTGTGGCATTTTCTCATGTGGACTACAGTGGATGCGCAGACTCGTTACAGCATCCCAGAGGAGCTCAAGCAAGGTTCCGTGGTGGGGAATCTGGCCAAAGATCTGTCTTTGGGGCTGTCTGAGATATTTGAGCGCAAGCTGCGTGTCGCCTCCGAGGCTGGTAAGCAGTATTTCAGCGTGGATGCGGGGAAGGGCGAGCTGCTGGTCAGCGACAGAATAGACAGAGAGGCTTTGTGTGGACAAAGCGCCAACTGTGTGCTCCCTCTGCAGGTTGTGGTGGAAAATCCCCTGCAATTGCATCGAATTGAAGTGGAAATCAGAGACATTAACGACAATTTTCCTCGTTTTCAAACGCAGGAAATTAACCTTAAAATACCAGAATCCGTTGCAGTGGGTACTCGTTTTCCTTTGGAGAGTGCAGAGGACCCCGATGTTGGAAGCAATTCACTCAAAACATACACTTTAATGAAAAACGAACATTTTTCTTTAAAGTTTAAAGACGAAAAGAATGGTTTAACTGCTCCAGAATTGGTGTTAGAAAAATCGTTGGACAGGGAAAAAATGTCCACTCATCAATTGCTTTTAACAGGATTAGATGGAGGAAACCCACTTAAATCTGGAACGTGTAAAATTATAATTGATGTCCTTGATAATAACGACAATTTTCCTGTATTTGACGAAAAAGAGTACAAAGTGTCTTTGAAAGAGAATAGCACAAAAGGCACTTTAGTATTGACGTTAAAAGCTACAGATATTGATCAGGGTGTTAATAGTGAAATTAGATATTATTTTGGGGTCCGTACACCAGAAGCTGTTTTATCAACATTTGAAATCAATGAACAAACTGGACAAATTGTTTTAAAGGGGGAGTTAGACTACGAGGCGTTTGCATCCTATCTGATTGATGTCACTGCAAAAGACAAAGGTGTACCTGAAATGGAAGGTCACTGCCGCCTGCAGCTTGACATAGAAGACATAAATGACAATGCTCCGGAAATTGTTCTGACTTCAAAACCCAGTCCTGTACGAGAAGATGCGTCACGTGGCACAGTGGTGGCTTTGATTAGTGTCAAAGACATCGACTCGGGAAATAATAGCAAAGTTACACTGCAACTACCTAACGGCTTGCCTTTTTCCCTTAAACCGTCTTTTTCAAATAATTACGCTCTGGTCACTAGTGGTGTTTTAGACCGAGAGAGTGTCTCCGAGTATAATATTGAGATAACAGCAACTGATGCAGGCTTTCCTCCTCTCTCTAGTAAGAAAATGATCTCTGTCAGCATTACTGACGTTAATGACAACCCCCCTGTCTTCTCTCAGAGCACGTATAATGTTTATTTAAAAGAGAACAGAGTAGCAGGCTCTATACTGTACTCGGTGTCAGCAAGTGACCTGGATGCTGGTGAAAATGCCAAAGTCTCTTACTCCATTGTGGACTCGAAAGTACACGACGTGTCCGTGTCGTCTTACGTTTACGTGAACTCGGAGAACGGCAGCATCTTCAGCATGCACTCGTTTGACTACGAGAAAGTCAAAGTGTTTCGGGTTCAGGTTGAGGCGAAGGACCAGGGCTCCCCGTCTCTCAGTAGCAACGCCACCGTCCACGTTTTCATCCTGGACCAGAACGACAACGCCCCCGCTGTCATATACCCCTCCCCCCACGCCGCCTCCCACCTGAGGGTGCCCCGCTCGGCCAAGGCGGGCCACCTGCTCACCAAGGTGACGGCCGTGGACGCCGACTCGGGCCACAACGCCTGGATCTCGTACAAAGTGGCGGAGGCCACGGACGCCTCTCTGTTCACGATCAATTTGTACACGGGGGAGGTGAGGACCAAACGCGCCGTGTACGAGCACGACGACTCCTCTCAGAAGCTGATCGTTGAAGTCAAAGACGACGGGGAGCCGGTCCAGTCGGCCACCGTCACGCTGTCCATCCTGCTGGAGGACGGCGTGAGCGAGCCCGTGTTGGAGCTGAGACACAAGGCGTCCGAGCCCGGCAAGAAAGGCGGCAGAATCACGCTTTATTTGATCGTGGCTCTGGCCTCGGTGTCCGTGCTGTCTCTGCTCACTTTGCTCGTCTTGGGCGTCAAATGCATGAGGAGCAGTACGAGTGGCGCCACTTGCTGTGTGCGACGGACACTCTCCGATGAGGACAAGAAGCCCAACAGAAATCTGCACATTCAGCTCAACACCGATGGACCCATCAAGTACGTGGAGGTTCTCGGAGGAGACGTCATGTCTCAGAGTCACTCCTTCCGGTCGTGCATGTCTCCCATGTCGGAGTACAGTGATTTCACGTTGGTCAAGCCCAGTAGCACCACTGACTTTAAGGAGGTCATCAGCGTCCTGGATGCTTCTTTGCCTGACAGCACCTGGACCTTTGAGAGCCAGCAGGTGAG